CAACCAACAGGACCTCCATCTTGTTCGGGTTGAGTTTCAGTTTATTGGCCCTCATCCATTCCCTTACCTCGGCCAAGCACCGGTTCAGCACAGCCACTGCCTCACCTGGATTAGTGGAAAACAAGAGGTAGAGCTGGGTATCATCAGCATATTGATGATTCCGCAGCCCACACCTCCTGATGACCTCTCCCAGCAGTTTAATATAGATGTTAAATAGCAGAGGGGATAGAATGGACCCCTGTGGTACTCCATGGCATAGCTGCCATGACGTAGAGACATGGTCCCCCAGCACTACCTTCTGGAATCGACCGTCGAGATAGGAGCGGAACCACTGCAAAACAGTGCCTCCAACCCCCAATCCCGCAAGCCTATCCAGAAGGATACCCTGGTCGATGGTATCGAAAGCCGCCGAGAGGTCCAGAAGAACCAACAGGGATGCACTCCCCCTGTCCTTCTCCCTGCACAGGTCATCGTACAGGGCGACCAAGGCAGATTCAGTACTGTACCCGAATCTGAAGCCGGACTGAAAAGGATCCAGATAATCAGTTTCATCCAAGAGTGCTTGGAGTTGTCCCGCCACCACTCGCTCCAACACCTTGCCCAGAAACGGGATGTTGGCCACAGGTCTATAGTTAGTGGCCATCTCTGGATCCAGTGACGCTTTCTTCAGGACCGGTCGTATTACCGCCTCCTTTAAAGGGGCAGGCACTCAACCCTCCCTCAGAGAAGCGTTAACCACTTCCAAGATCCAGGTCCCAATCCCGTGCTTGGAGTTATTTATTAACCCAGACGGGCAAGGATCCAATAGGCAAGTGGTGGGATGTACTTGACCAAGCACCTTGTCCACATCATCGGGCCGCAATAATTGAAATTCCTCCAATAATTTTGGACCAGACGGTAGCATTGGCGTCTCCCCAGAGACCTCTGATTCATTAGTGGAGTCCAGCTCGTGACGAATCTGAGCGATTTTCTCCCTGAAATGTCTGGCAAAGTCGTCACAGCGGGCCTTTGAGGGTGGCATCGGATCTTCCTTAGGACCCGGTCGAACCAGGCCTTGCACCACTCGAAAGAGCTCCGCCGGACGGCATTGTGAGGAGGCAATGGAAGCGGAAAAAAACTTCTTTTTCGCCGCCTTCACCGCCACAGCATAGGCCCGATAGTGGGCTCTCAAGTGTGTTCGGTCAGATTCATCCCGTGATTTCCTCCACCTACGCTCTAGTCGTCTCCCAACCCGCTTCATCGCCCGCAATTCAGGTGTATACCAAGGGGAAGAGCGGACTCTGCCCGGTGGGAGAGGGCACTTGGGAGCGATCGTGTCCACAGCCCTGGTCATCTCTCCGTTCCACAGTTCGACCAGAGCCTCGACAGGAGCACCAGTCTTGTCCGCCGGAAACTCCCCCAGGGCCTTCAGGAATCCATCCGGATCCATCTGGCTCCGGGGGCGGGCCCATACAATCGGGTCCGCACTCTTATAGAGGGGGAGGCCACTCTCGAGCACAAACCTCACCAGGAGATGATCTGACCATGACAGGGGAGTCAAACATAAGTTCCTCACCCTCAGGTCATCCTCTTCCTGCCCCGTCATGAATACCAGGTCCAGAGTGTGTCCACGTTCACGGGTCGGGCCGATGACGTGTTGAGACAGGCCCATGGCCGTCATGGAGGCCATGAATTCCTGAGCTGCCCCGGTCAGTCCAGACTCGGCATGGAGATTGAAGTCCTCCAGGACCAACATCCTGGGGGTCCTCAACACCAGGTCCGAGACGGTCTCTGTCAGCTCAGATAGGGAGACTGCTGGGCAGAAGGGTGCACGGTACACTAATAGAATCCCCAATCTGTCTCGTTCGCCCAACACCAAGTAGAGGCACTCCAGCCCTGGTCTCGAAGGGACCGGAAGACCCATGAGAGAGATGGAGGCTCTGTAAACCAACGCGACTCCCCCTCCCCTCCCTTCTGGGCGTGAACAGTGTTGAACCAAATACCCGGGCGGGCACAATTGGGAGAGGGCAACATCCCCTCCCTCTCCCGCCCAGGTCTCCGTTATGCAAGCCAGGTCGGCCCCCTCATCCACAATCAAGTCATGGATGAGGGAAGATTTATTATTGACCGACCTGGCATTGAGCAGCAGCACCGTCAGGTCCGAGGGGTGGTTGACAAGACTACCTGGCGCCCTCTGGTTGGGGACAAGACCAGAAGGAGGGATAGGTGTCAGCCATCTGTCCATCCTTCTTCTACGTGGACACGTTAAGCCCCTATTGTTGTAACGATCATTGCCCGTGACCACGTCAATAGCAGCGCCCGTGTGTTCCCCAGGATATATAAACGTCGACATGGCCAGGGATGACTCAAAGCACTGATTAAAGCAGGGTAAAATTATAAAGTAGGTCAAAGGAGGAAAAAATAATAAATAAAAATAACAATAAAATAAATAAATAAAAAATAAATAAAAAATAAAGAATAATACAAGCCACCCATCCAATGCTGATGTGCTCACAGGGTGACATGGGCAGAACTCCTTTGAGATATGTGTGACTGTGAAGATCCAGGATTAGCTCTTAATTTTAATCCTGGGATCAGAACAAGGATGAGCATGCCCTTTACTTGCTGGAGATTGACTAAGCATCCATCACCTCAGATTAAGGTGTTACATCTGCACTAGGGATCAAAGCTAAGAACAGTTACAATATTCTCTGCTGCAGGCCCTTATAAGTCATCAATAAAGTTAGAACCTTTATGGGATAGCTAGTCCTGACATCATGCTTCTTCATTTCTAAATCCTGCAGGAAACATTATATTCAAGCCACCGGTTGATCCTGGCTTTAACAAACACCATCTGACATTCTTCATGAAAAGTTCAAAGCACAGTTATCAAGTACTGTATGAAAAAGAGAATACCAGACAGTGTATCTTCACTTTCGAAAATTAAATATTTGAATCCTGATGAATAACACAGATTCTAGTCCCAAGGGCTTTAAAATTTTCCTAACAGCAAAGAAAACCTTCAAATTATATCAGGGTAGCAGAGCTAAAGGATGTGACTGCCCAATGCATAATAGCTTTTTGTAAAAATAAGCCTTCAAGCCTATTCCTCCAGGCAGGCTGACAAATAAAGCCATGAACAAATACAGAAAGATTGCACTGGACTTTGGATGCCAGAAAGATTGATATGAAGGGCTCACAAGTGAGAAGCAGGAATTGACTGACTACAGAGCCTGTTACTCCTTTTTCATTAGTGTAAACAAGCAGATATAAGGCATTTTCAGATGAGTAAACCATGTTTTGCATCCTGTGTTTCCAAAACATATGACTATATAAAAGCATTGTCTGATATTTTGCACTATCAAAATCCCCAGCCATCACCTTAAGATCACCAGTCATGAGGAGCTTGAAGCAAATTAGTTAGCCATGGTATGACAATAAAACAAAATGTACAACTTGATGCTCCAAATGTTCAACCTTGGGTAAAGCAAAAGTGAAAGTGCTGATGTGATGAACAATACACTTCTCAGCCTTAACAGCCTGCAAGGCAAGGTGGTTTGCAAAGTGTCAGTGGATCTAAAACAATAAAGCCTGGGCAGCTGCATGCATCCAACTCAGTAGCTGCCAAAAGAGCAGCTACCTATTCTCCACTATCCTAAAGAGTATAAACTCTTTACTGCAAAGAATTGCTGTGTGAACAAAGTCCAGGTTACAATGCATGGGACAAGAACAATCCAGTTAAATTGCAGTAGACTCTCTTGGGGAGTTTGGTCTCTCTTCAGGAGTTTGCAACAAGCTATATTTCCAGGAAAACAATAACAGCAGCAGTAATGCTGCTATTTCTTCTACTTGCTCATTAACTTGTTTATGATGAAGACTGCAACCCGAGGGGTTTTTAAAAATCCCATTTCCTTTCTCATCAGAAGTTTAGGTAATATTCAAGGGCTTGATTGGGAGTTAGACTGTGGAGAGAGTCAATAAGAAGCTTTTAACAGATAGAGCGATGGTTCACACATGCGGCTTGGGTACTTAGGTTCTGTTGTGAGAGCCCCTCTTACACATGGGATCACAGCAAGAAACTTCATGTGAAGGAGGCTAAAAACAGAAGCACCATCCATGGTTGTGTTCACTGGGGCAAAAATATGCCGGTGTGATCACAGAAATGACTTGCAGTCTAATCCAGAATCCAGTTACAGAATATTGTATTTAAGTCACTTCATTCTAATTGAAGGCAATTGGACTAAAATCAGCTTAAAGCCCAAATCCTCTCGTTTACTGGTAGGTGGCCCACAGCCAGAGGTCCAGATAATGTCATGAAGAGTTAATTAGTGTTCTGAGGGGGAGAGACAGTCTGAACATTTCCCACACAGCTTGGAGTCAGAATGATGGGGGCATTTGGAACACAAGTGGAAATTAAACATGATTCTTACATTTTGCTTTTTTCTGTTGAATTTCTGAGTCTGATAAACATTTAGGCTCACATAATCCTGTGTTGTACTGCACCAAGACTGGACATTCTCATCTGAGCACAGTCCTAGTACCTCTCATGAATAGATTGTAGGCCATCCAGGAGTGTCCTAATATAAGGGATAAGTTGAATGTTAACCAATGAAAGCAAGGAAGGGTAAGTGGACCAGTGAAACTGATGTCTGGCATTGCTGAGAGCCCCATTTCGAGACACACAAACAGTACTGTGCTCAGCCAGCCAGCCTGTACTAGCCTTTTCTTTCCAATGGCACCAGTTGCATTAGGGCGGCAAAAGAAAGGAATTAGCTACATTGCATTAATTGCTTTAAAAATATCAGTCATGTTCTGTGATCTCAAGTACTGTAATTCAGTTTGTGTCTGTTAGTGTAAGACAAGCTTTTCCAGCTTGGTTCTGTCCAGATATTGTTGACTTCAACTTGCATCAGCCCCAGGCATTCTAGCCAATGGCCAGGAATCCTGGGAGTTGTAGTCCAAACAGTTGGAGAGTATCATGTTAGGGAAGGCTGAAATGGAAGGAGAAGTTGGTATTGATTATGCCTTTGAGGTTTATGAAGTCCATTATAATGGTAATTAATTACACATAGTAAAAACCAAAAAAAAAAAAAAATTACTGTGCTTCTTCTACAAGAGGGGGAAAACCCATGTAATCTGTAACTTGGGGTGTCTTGGAAGAGAATAGAAATTGTTTTGACACACTGGAAGAAGCTAAGTGAGAAGAACCAGATTTCAACAGCAATGCAATAACAAGAATGTTTTCCAATACCTATTTTATGGAAATCGTTTTCAAATAATAGAATTCAAGCAACAGGCAGAAGAACATTGTAAAGTACTAATGTACTATATAGGGGACAAAGGAAATGCTAAACTGCTGAACACAATGCAACTAAACATCTGCGCTGAAACAATTAGATCTTAGGAAAAAATGTCGCTGCAATTTGAGCATTGTCAGTCTAGCAGATTCAAACTGTACTTTGCATATTCCCTTCAGCATTGTAGATGTATTGATAATATGCAAACAATGCATATGAGAAAATCCAGGTTTTATATTACAGCCTAATAAGCAGAGAAACTGTCACATACTCATAATTCATAATCAAGAATATTCACAGATGGCAAAGCAGATTTTTCAGCTGTCATGTAGCTGGGTCCCTCTAGTGGCATCAGCATTTTTGGTCTTTAGCATTTTAGTATCATTTCATTTAAGTCAGCAGCGCCAAAGGAGGCTTTTTCAGTGCTGTCACACTGACCTGGGACTTAACTATTTTTATCATCCTTATTGATGGAGGTCTATTATTTATTTATTTATTTATTTAGGGAGACTTCTATGCCGCCCCATTTGCCGAAGCCTTGGGGCGGCTCACAACAGGTCTAGTGTTTTGTGACATGGTGCAGAGAGATGCTGGAGGACAAGGAAGAAAGGCCAGAAATGAGAAAGTCACAAACTATGGCTGGTTTAATGAAGGCATGCAAGAAACGTAATGCTACCAATAGCCAATAGAGACTTATTTTTCCACACAAACCCCTCAAGATGGGTAGTGAAAGCTGCTACTGATCTCTGCTTTATTCTGCATAAAGCACAGCTTGCTTCTGTCTCTCTCTCTGTCTTCTCTGTCTCTTTCTCTCTGTCACACACACGCACAGGGTCACACAATCATAGCTGGTCATGGACTATGAAGGAAAAGAATTCAGAAGCAGAAGATACTAAACGGCAAGCCCCTCAAATCAATTGACCTCTGGAGACCACAACTGTGAGTATAGCATTTGCTGCAATAATTAACTACCAACTGGTATGCTTGTGAAGTTATTGTGTTAACATGGAACAAATGAGAGAATACCTGTAAATAAATGCCATCTGTTGAGGCTCACTGCCAGTCTTTTCTCTTGCAGATGAGTATACATTCTCTATGGGGTAGCCAAGACACAGTCTATTCTGCATCCGGGGTGACCAACAAGTAAACAAACGTGTGCGCACACGCTCAGATTAACTCAACTGGCAACACAATTGTGAAAGAGAAAGATAATGAATCCAGAGAATCTGACCTCTCAGCGTTTGCTGTCTGCAATCCAAGGCAACACCACTAATCTTTTCCTGGGTCTCCAGCTTGTCCAGTTTTTCAAGCCTCTCATCATCCCTTGCTACTCCCTTGTGGTTTTTGTCGGCATCATTGGGAATTACCTCCTGATCTATGTCATCTGCAAGACCAGAAAGATGCACAATGTCACCAACTTTCTTGTGGGCAACCTGGCGTTCTCTGACATGCTCATGTGTGCCACCTGCATCCCCCTGACCCTGGCATATGCCTTTGAGCCCAGAGGCTGGATCTATGGACATTTCATGTGCTACTTTGTGTTCCTGATGCAGCCGGTCACCGTGTTTGTCTCTGTGTTCACCCTGACCGTCATTGCTGTGGACAGATATCATGCCATGCTTCATCCGCTTCAGAGGAGGCTCACCATACCCGTCTGTGCCTACATCCTGGCAGCTATCTGGCTCCTGAGTTGCCTGCTTGCTGCCCCAGCCTTGGTCCACACCTACCATGCGGAATTCCCAGAACTTGACTTCTCTATCTGTGAAGAGTTTTGGTTCAATAGGAAGAGGGATCGGTTGGCATATGCCTACAGCACTCTCATCCTCACCTACGTGCTGCCCTTTGCCATCATCTCTGTGTCCTACCTGAGGATCTCAGTCAAGCTGAAGAACCGAGTCGTCCCTGGCAATGTCACCCAGAGCCAAGCTGAGTGTGACAGAGCCAGAAAGAGGAAAACCTTCCGCCTGCTGGTCCTGGTAGTAGCTGCCTTTGGAATTTGTTGGCTGCCTTTGCACACCTTTAATGTGATCAAAGACATAGACATTAAACTCATAGACAAGCGATATTTTAACCTGATCCAGCTCCTTTGTCACTGGTTTGCAATGATGTCTGCTTGCACTAATGCCTTTCTTTATGCCTGGCTACATGATAGCTTTAGAGGGGAGCTAAGGAAAATGTTTGCCTGGCGGAGGAAAAAGATAGGACCTGGCTCACACTGTATTGTGGCTAGTGTGGTGCTGTAAGTGTGTGTGTGTACGTATGAGTGTGTGTGAGTGAGGGGCTTCCCACTGTTGCACTGTTACCTCTCTAGTGATTAAAGTCTCTATCTGTGCTGCACTTGTCATTTAAGTATTTCTCAAGGGATATCAACTGCTAAGTTTAATGAAATCCAAATGATGTGTCATAAACCTGTGGACCATTTAAAGTGGAATAAATTATGTGATATAATTAAGGCAACTTGCGTGCTGTTTCTTACTTTGCACAATATACAATGACAACAACAAGAATTCCATCAGCTTTAAATAGAGGGTTGCTGGGAGGAGAGGAAAGGAAAGAGGATGTGATGTGAGTTTTATGAAGGGAAAACAGGTGTTCAAAGAGCTAGACCTTGATGAGGGAGAAAAGGAACTGAAAACTTAGAATGGGGATTCATAGTGCTGGAATTGACCCGCCATGGTGGAAGTCAAGATGAGTGGATGTGTCTTGTGTGTGTGGATGTTATATATTCTTAGATCGCAACCAGATTTTGCCAAAAGAACAAGTTGGATGGATTTGTAGGATCTGTTCAGGCAAAGCACCAGGAAATCTTGAGAGAAATTTAGCATCTTGATAAGAATAATTTGACCTACTTAGTATACTTCTATTGTCACTTTATTCCATCATGAAGTTTCAGGTGACATACAAGGAGTTCCTAGATAGTCACCTACCAAGGTTCAGGCCTGGACACCAGCAGTGTGGGGACTGGTTACCTTAGGACCAGGGCTACTAATAGGGCTTTCGGGACCTAGTACGCTGTGTGTGGATCAGTCCCTCTATTCCATGTGCAAAGGAGAAAGCAAATTTGCTCAACAGCTGCACATGCTGCTCGCATGTGCAAATACACAGTCCTATATTGTGGGGTCATACAAAAGTAATAACATTGTGGCTGCACTGGCAGGTTTTGAGGATCCTTGGGACGGACATCCTTGATGGGCTCAGCAAGTCTGCCTTCTCGTTACCTTTGTCACCAGCTGCTCTTGATCCTCTTCCTTGTTCTACCACGGCTACCACCTGCTGGCACGACTGGCAGCGAACTGGTGAGCAGGGACTGCTCCTGTGCTGCTCCGCTTTCCCACGGCTGCAGTTGTCCCAACCAGAGTGAAAAAGGTGAGCAAACAATGGGGACCAAGGGCAGCAGCTCCAGGCATTCTTGTCAGTGGCCACTACCTCAGTGTGGGCCCTCAGCAGATCCCAGTCATTCCTACCTTTGGCACTTGCCCCACCTGACAGACCAAATGACAGCAGGTGGAGCTCTGGCAGTAATTGAATTTTCATACTAGGAAAGGCTTAGTGTATTGCATTTTTGCATGATCCACAGTTAAAAGACACAAAAGCCCTGCCACCCTCCAATACCAATGCTAAGCCATGAAAAGAACCAAAGTTGAATACCTCTCAACCAGGTATTCTACTGCACAGATCTGAGGCTGGCAATATTACATCTACTTCACGATCTTACATAGGATTTTAGTTTAGCTGGGGTGTGTGCGCATCCCAGTCTGCAACAGGTAAGTGTCAATCATTCGTGCTTGGGAGCAGCTGGAACTGGCTTTCCTCTGCCCTGCTACTGCCATGAACCATTCTGGACTTGCTGAGGCTTGTTTTAACTTTCCCTATTTTTCTTTTGGAGGAGGAGATCATAAAAGCTAAGTGTTAGGGCTTTCATGATTAGGCTGAGAAAGAAAAGAACCACTTTCTCCAGCTCGGCACAAAGAGCAAAATGTATAACCTGGTAGGAGCTGAAAGGGGAAAGATAGATGAGGCTCTTGTAATGAAGGGAGTGCTAATATCACTAAACAACCCTTTTGCTGTTGAAGATCATTCACAACTTTTGCTTATTTTGACAGCTCACCTTCTGGCAGCTGTTAAGGGAAAAAAAGGGGGGATATATTTGGAGCCCCTTCTGGGCAATGTCTTGGATTGGTACTTGAGGCTGCTTGACAGGAGGGACCCCTCTCATCATGGACCAGGGAAGCTTCAAATTCCCACCAACTGTGAAAGATCACAGTTATGCAAATGAGGCAGTAAACAGTGCATATTTTTGCATGCACTTTCTCTCTCTCTCTCTCTCTACACACACACACACACGTTTGCCACCCATGCTGGCCTCCTACATGTTTCCAAGTCACTTTGAAAAGACTGTTCATAGCTGTCAAAACAAGGAATGCAAAATCCGTCTTGACATCCAGCTTTCATGATCACCAGAAGAAAGGAGGGAGGGGAGTGTGGGGAAGGGAAGAAAGCCACAGCGATCCCAGAATGACTTGTCATGGTGGTGTAGCAATTTGTTCTTCCCAGTGTCCCTGGGATACTTGCAGAACTGAGCAAGGAGGAGGAAGCCGGCAATGTATGATGTGCCCAGTCATCTGTTCAGGCTCACCATCAGTTGTCCTCAGTTTCTAACGCACCATAACTTATTGCCAGGGCGGTTGTTGTGATATGTGAACATGACCACTGAAAGATGACAATAATAACATCCTCAGGGCCACACAGAAAAGCATCCAAAATCCATTTCTTCCACTGAGCATCTCCACATCCAGCCCATTCTAGAACTCAGAAGTAACAGTAAGGAGCGGCACAGCACACAAATCTGTCTTACGTATTATCACAGGTAAGAATCACTGGATCATTTAGGAGTGATTGCTCAAGCAACAAAGATTAAATATGTCCCCCCACCTCTCCCAAGGGAGATGAATTTCAAATAAAATTTCATCTCTATGTAGGCTCATACCATCTCTTACAACACATTTTTCAATGCACACTCAGTCTCTCACTCTCTACATTGGTGGTCAAGAAAAAGAAGTTTCAGTTTGCACATCATCTTGAAGAGTGCTGCTGGGTGGACACACACAAATACATATTAAAAACAAACATGTTAACTTTTATTATATCTAATGGTTGCTCGATGCTGGAAGAAACGCAGCAGCCTGAAGTGACAGCTGTGCCTTTGACCAGCGGAGGTTATCTGGGCACCGGTGCCTCAAGAGATTTTCCTCCAACAAAGATCCCTAAAACCCACAACTCCCTCATCCTACCTGTGTAACATCAGCACTTGTGTCTCTGGAGGGGTTTTAAAAGCATGATTTTTATTTTCTCTTCATCTCTGCAAAAGTGCATTAGCATTTTAATTCTGTTTCTTGTAATTATACATGCTGCATCTGCAGCCCAACTGGCCTAATAAGGTGGGATCAGACTTTTAGAGATAAATACAATAATTTAAAATAAATAATAGTTACATAAAAAGTACTGACCATACAACAAATAGGGTACCTTTTCTACCCTCACCCTGGTAACCAGTGACTTTGCTCCATATTTCATACCATCTACCTGAATCAAGAGCCTATTGTCATCTTGAGCGACAAGCCATTTGCTAAATCTGTTCATGATGAGAGCTACTTTCAGTGCAGATTAAATGCCTTGTGGTGCTCTCTCTCTCTCTCTTTCTCTCTGTGTGGTGTGTGTGTGGTGGTGATCTTTGTTCAGACTGTGAGGCCTTATTCTGTGGCCTGGGGCAATTTAAGTCCCAGCCATTAAGCTCCAGCTGCAAGTCCTGCATCCACGAAATGGCTATTTGGGCATGAACTTTCATCCTCTATGGCAAAGCTGTGATGAAAAGTGCATCTGCTCAAAAATTTTCTCAGACTGGATGAAAGTATTCCCCTCTTCTAAAGTTATAATGTTCTTCATTGCCCTCTTGCCTGAGGTTCCATCTCATTCCTTTGCTTCCTGTGGTACAACTACCCAAGCCGTTCAGCTTTTCCTGTTAAGGAGAACCCAGGCATCACACTGAATGGGTAGCCACCAGCAAAATCTTCCTTTGATTTTTACTGGAATGGGACCACACCCCTCTCTTCACCTGGGATTGCTGTTATTCAAGTGTCCCTCCAATCTTCTTGGTGTGCTGCAGAAGAAAGCCATTTTTCCATCTGTTAATAGTTTCCGGGCTTTTTCTGTGGGTCTCCAAGGCACCTAACTGACCAATGTTGGAAATGGCATACCAACAGACTTCTGCAAACAAGTGGACCACTGCCAGTATAGGTAAGGATTCCCACACCATAGCTGGTGAGGAAAGTTTTATATCTTCCCTCTCCATGACAGCGATGCCAGTGAGGGCCTGACAGGGGAATGCTGGGAATTTCTGTCTAAATATACCTAGGATTGCACCCTAAGTAGGGCAGTTTATTGGATCTCCTCATATATTCCAGGAATGCATGCCAGGATAGTCAAGCAGTCGTGCATTTATCCAAGAGTCCCTAAATACTTGCTAATGCCATCTGTAGGTGGGTTGCCTCTCACCCTCTTCATACTGGTGACAAGAAACTTCAGCTGATACATGCACGAAGTCAAGGCAGCAGATCTGTAGAAACCCACAACAGAAATGAAAAGACTCTGAACTGGACTAAGGCAAGGCCCAAAGCACAAGGCTTAGGACAGGTCTGAACACTGAGGAACAAGTCTACCTCCACAAGCCCTTTTTTGGTGAAAGCACAAGTTTGGAGGAAATTAAAATGCAGGAATTAAAAAGGAGGTCTAGGCAGCAAATGTGGTTTTCCTCATTATTTTTAGTGGGAAAATAGCTAAAACCAATTCCTGCTTTTTTCCTCTTTAGAGTACTTCAACTATGCAAGTGGGGTGGGAACAAGGCAGAACAGATGGTGACTTGAAGCGGAAGAATGAATCGATTGGCTGAGCATGTGTCAGAACTGAGGCATGGTGTGTTGCTACTTTGTCCTCTCCTCGGAGGGTCTGTGTACAGGCGACAATAATGAGATGATTAGCAACATGTAATCTTTTCCTAAAAAGTAGCAAGCATGGGGCGCCCTTGTCACTGGGATCACTGTGTATATAAAAAGGAAGTTTAACCCCCCAGTGTAGACCTTAGCAATAGGAATAAAGGCCTTCTTATCAGCACCAGTGGGAATGTTTTTTCCTAATAGTAATTGCCATGCCGTGGAGGGGAAACACGCGGCTCCCAGTGCTGGCTTTA